GCTGAGAATGAATTAGTAGCAGCAAGTTGGAAAAGTTTTTTAAGGTCTATTTTTATTTTTACAGCAGCATTCTAGTGAGCATATTCTAGTCAGCCTTAATTTGACTGCTGTAACCAGCTGTGATATTTAAGTCTGCCATTTTAATTCATGTACATCCATTATAACCGGTGTAAGAACGCTGAATAAATGGTAGATGGCATAAACACTGAAGGAAAAAAGAAGTTTAAATCTGATACTTAATGTACAATATGTTCAAAAATTCTAAAATCTGAACTGTCAGCCTCTGCGGTTAAAATTCGTGGTTGTGAAAAATACACAAACATGAAATCTTCCGTTCTGAAATTAAAATAGTTGCCTAACAGATTCTGCTATTGCTTTTACGAACTATGACCTTATCTTGAAAGTTCAGAATACTCTGAATAAGCTATATGCAAAAAAAGCTGCGCTTTTTCCAGGCTAATCGTAAACTTGTTCCCTTACATTAATCAATTCTGTAAACGAAATTATTTTTTATAATAATGCCTTTAAAATCTATCAAAAATGCTTTTATGACTACTTCAAAACAGATGTTCCTCAAAACTCTTTAAGCTTAGAGGCTTTATAAATGTAAATCAATTATACAAATATTATTTATTAGAAAAATATATGCGCTTCTAACAAATTCTTCTGGTTTTTGATAGTACCAATTATTTAGAGACTCTTTTCCATCCCTTCATATTTTTACCAGTCGGTAGCTGATTGTAAACTTCATTGATATCACCTGCATGAGACATGATCTCTGCGTTACTTTGTGCTAATTTTCGAGTGATTTCTCTTATGCTGTCCAAAATTTCTGAAATTTCCAGAACTTTTGTACAATATGTCCTTAATATGTAAGTATTGAATAATTACGAATTACAGAACAGTGATGAAACACTGAGATTTGCATAAATATATAGTAATAAAAGTATAGTTTTTACTCAGATTTATAAGTGATGCAGAAGTATTTTTAGGTTTATTGTTACTTTGATTTTTTATTTATAACCACAAAATTAGCTGCTTTTTTGTTTGAAGTCAACCGACCTTGTTTAGTTTCGAGAAAACCTGATTTCGCTAAGAACTCAACGTCGGTATCAATATCATCTTCAAAGTTACCTGTCAATTTAAACTTTTTGTAGTGAAAATGTTGAAGTTGTTGAATTCAGTAAGTATAATGTAAATTTGATAAATTTACAAATGTATCAAAATTCCTCACAAAAACCTTTGCTAATTGTATGAGCCAATATTTACGGTTATAGAGATAACAGTTAGTTTAATTAGTTTTCTAAAACAATGTAATGTAATTTATTAACTTTAAACTTAGACAGTTTGTTTGTCGAGTCAACGATTATATTAGGCGACTTCTGACAGTTTCAATGTACTAAATGAAAAATTAATTTTTGAATAAATTTTTTAAGATCGAAAAATTTTGCGGTTCTATGATTGCGTTTAATTTTACACTTAACTTTTTTAAAATAATTATGTAAAGGCAGTATAAACGTTAAACTAGCTTACTAAAAAACTTTCCTGCAGAAAGAAGACCAGTGCATTCAATTACCAACAGTAATAATAATCTAATTAATACCATCGATCCTGACAAAGTTTAGCAACAGACCTGAAAGAAAATAATAGAGTACTGAACATATTTAGCAGTAACTTTTCAGTCATCTTTAAACTAAAGGTTTCTAAAGTTACTAATTCTGTAGCGAGTTGCTTTACATATACATAATAGAAGTAATATGTACGTAAATTATGTTGTATACTGTTACTTACTGAACAGTTACTGAAGTCAAAAATGTAGGGTGTAATGTCGAAATAAAGATGCTTACACTTCCGTAAAACCACAATCAAGTAATCACTGTAAAAAAAAAAAATGTGGCTTGAAATCTTGTTTCAAAAAATATTGAAAGCAGCCGTAACTGACCATAAAAAAAGGCGTTTTCGCTACCTTTTAACCATTTTTTTCTATTCGATAAAAAAGAAAAAAAAAATGACTATAAAGAATAAACAAAAAAAAAGCTGTCAAACATCTCCATATCATTCCTATTTCGATAAAAAAAAGAAATAATTGTTGTGGAACAAAAAAAAGTGTGTTAAAAGAAGCCACATTTTGACAATAGTATCAAAAGCATCCGATATGACTGCTTATCACAAAACTATTATTAATGCTTCTCCTTATTCTGTTCAATCTTCTATTAGCATCTCTAACAATTATATCATTTAAAGCTTTGCTGACCTGAATACAAATTGTTTAAAATTTCTGTACTTCAGACTTCAAAAAGATTCCAAAAAGACTGTGACTGTAATTAGAAGTTACACAGTCTGATAAAAAAACACGAACGTTGTTATTGCTATAAACTTTCTCATCCAGTAACAACCTCAAAATATCGCAACATTTGTCTGGAGCCATACTGTTCATACCGTTGCAGTACTGCATTATGAAGAAACTTTTACAATAAACCTGAATTTTTTGACTTTTTTTCTGTCGTTTAACTATCTTCTTCAAGAAATGTTAAACACAATTAAATAGCAAAATAATAATTGTGATAGTAGTGATAACAGTAATAAAAATAACGGTAACAGCAGCAATAATAATAACAAGAATAACAGTAAAAACAAAATGAGAAGCGCAGTTATGCTGAAGTTCTCATCGGAATCACGAAGGACGCTCGGATGGAGTAAATGCTGAAAAATTAGACGGAGGTATATTCAAAAATAAAGACTAAAACTTTTAAAAATGCTTGTTACAGCAGACACAGATGACGAAAAAATTTTACAGTTTTATTTTTCACTTCTCTTTTTTGTTTTTACTTTCTTTTTTATTATTTTTTACAAACAATTATTTTTTTTTTTAAGCAGTAGATGCCAGTTGAATTAGATTTGGGTCTTTTTATAATCAGAAGCGGTCGATTCTGATTCTAAAACTATTCAAACAAGAAACACTCAAAAGGTTAGATGTTATTGTTTGCTAAAGTTGCAACTTTTTATCCTATAACCTAAAACTGAGATTTTTTCCAGCTTACTTTTGATAAACTATTGCACTCTGCCTCGTCAAACTTTACGAACATTTTCAGACAAAATTCAAAACATTTTTGATAAAGTTTATCATCACACATTTTTGAGTTTAATAGCTCAAAATACGTTGTATTTTTGCAAATTTTTTTTTCTTTTGGAACCCCCACTGTACTCTCCTAAGTTAAACTGAATGATTGTTATTACTTAAAGCCAATTTTTAACGAAAAAAAGAGGTTCCAGCTCACTTCCAGAAGCTGCTTACAGCTTAATTTTAGTATATCAATTTATAAAACGATGGTTTTTTTGTGGATGGCTCTTCGCGGACTTTTAGGTGGAAATAAAGATGAAAGCGAAACTGGAGGTGGTGAAAGTGAAGTCACAAGTGCAGCTGGGATAGATTATGGCGAAAGACCCGACCTCAAAAATTTGGATTCTAGTGCTAGGAGAGCAATGGAGAATATGATGATGTTGTTAACGGGCGTCATGAAACTGCACTACGATACAGAAGAACACATATTATTTCAGGCATGGCATCCACAGGAATTTGAAAGTCACTACTTTTTCAATGCTGACGTTATAATTATTTCGCTAAATAAACTTTTGTACTTTTTTTTTCTTTCTTTCAGTAGTTTTCTATCTGTTTCAAGAAAATGACAAGGCTAATTAAAATATCATATCGCAAAAATTTTAAATACCGCACACGATTAACAGTGGTATTGATAAGTTGACATCGCTCTACCAAACGATATTACCAACCTGTCGCTGTTCAAAGTTTTTTTTTTTTACATATCTGTTACAGTTTTTTTGATATCTGTTGTTCATAAAAAATAAGAAATTTAGGGCAGCACAGTGAATATATGAAGTTTTGAATTGACAAATCTTTTGCAATTTGAAAGCTTTAATAATAGTAAATTTAACAGTGTAGCATTAACAAAGAACATTTGCAAATTTTAGCCCTATTTCTTTCCGGATTGGTCATTTGCGGAATAGGTATTGCTCACGCTTTACTAAAGTGTAAGTTAGCAGGACAAACATTGCTTCTATTCTTTTATAACATTTAGACCTCTATAAATGTCATTTTGAAGCAAAAAAAATGTCGATTTTTCAACACAGTTTCTGTTAAATTAATTGAAACAAATTGTTTTTGATAACTTTGGAAATAATTGTGGATCTACTGAAGAGAAGCCAAAGCAGTTAATTGGAGAAACTTGGATTTTTTAACGTTTTAAACACAGCGGTGTTATAACTGCTGTATACTATGCAGCACGAAGAATTAGGATGCTGAAACATTATCGTTCGTTGCGGAAGAAAAGCAAACTGAAACAACTGACGACTGGAGTAAATTGTGGGTATTACCCGGTTGACACCGATGTACAACTTCAGTTTGCTGGGTAAGTAAGTATTCCAAAATTTTTTGCTATTCTCTTTCTGTTGTCTTAATTAAATTCTATTAGAAGATACTCTTTAATCAAGGTGCATGTATAGTTCAGTATCAATTTCCAATTGTTTAGCTGTTTTTAAACTTCAAAAAGTCTTTGGAATAACCATAGTTTAACCATCGCCGTCCTCTTGGCAATAAGGATACTTTTGTCTACAGAAAAAAAAGCTTTAAAAAAATTAGTATTATTTTTGGATATGACATAATGCTTAGCTCAAATTAGGCGAAAACAATTTGTTCTTGTGTGCCATTTCTTTTTTTTTAGCATCAATCTATTCTATGACAAATATATGCATATAATTTAGCGTTAAACAAATTCCAATTATTTTTTTAAAAATTTATTCCTCTTTTTCAGTTCTCAGCTTCAATATTTGCAATAAATAGTACCAAAGTTGGTCGTTCAACTTGTTTGAAATAATAAAAAAATACAAAAATAAAGATGGTACATTTAACATAACAAATTTTCAGCGGTGCTCGAGTTTATCCATCAAGTTTTCGATTACTCCAATCTGCTCTTTATGGCTTTCAAATGCTTGTGATGTACCTCATTTTTCTTGCTGCATTCTGTTGTAATTATCTTATAATTTTTAGTATTCTAATTGGCGAATTCATTGGTCATTGGCTGTTTTTGGACGAACCTATACCAATGTTTTTCACCTAACCATTCAAATTGACAATAGTGTTCTCTATTGGCATAGAAAAATGAACCAACTCTGCAAGAAACTACAGTTTTTGAAATATTACCAGAAGATTGACAATTACACCAACTGAAGACTAATTTTTTTTTCTTCTTACAGTAAAATAACTGTCTTCAGAAGGGAATAAAAAGAACTGAAGGTTTTTTTTCATAAAAACCACTCTTTTTCAAGCAAAAAAAAAACAAAACAAAACAAAACAAAAGGAAAAAAACAGCGATGTTTTAGTTTTGTTACAGCTCTGCAAACTCCAATTTGAATGCTTTTAAAAAATACATAATTTTCTTTTATTTTTTTTCTTCTTCTTCTTCTTCTTCTTTCTGTGATAAATTTTGCTGTTTGCTGTTTGGTATATTACTGTTGAAAAGAGTCAAAACAAAATAAACTTTTTTTTAATCATCTTTTGAAATAGTTTTAGTAAAGAAATGAAAAGCTGTAGCCAATTTTATGAAGTAATTCATTGTCAGAACAGTTCCAAAAAAAAAGAACATAAAGGTTTTAAGCAAATGCAAAAAAAAGAAAAGATAACAATGAGTACATTTGCACACAGAAATCTTGTGTCGAGCATCAAAATGCATAGAAAACTTGCAACTTTTGCTGGTTTCTGACCCATCCAAAATCAGTGAAAATGTTTTGTGTTTTCTTCCTTCCCACGCTTTAGCCAAGTTTTTTCCATTTGCCGATTGTCAGTGAGTGATAAGCACATTGGGGCCATCGACGATCGTTATATTTTGCAGTTAATGTAACCACCACCATTGACAATGATAAACAAACATTTCAACTGAGATATTTTATTCTATTTAAGGTCTCCTCTAATCAATGGATCACTTACTGTTTGGCAGAAGCACAAATGCAGCATAGATGTGTCTTAAGTTAGTAGAAATTTCAACAAAAAAATACTGCCGCATACAGATTTTTTTTTAAAAATGAACTGAAGACAATACAAGTTGGAAATCTTTTCTCTTTTTTGCTCCAAATACTAATTTAGTAATCAAGCAATAAAAAAAACAATCTTTGTCATCTTCCATATTATCTTTTTTGTAGTGCACTTAGTCTGTTGATGTATTATTTAGAAGATATGTCTTCAGATACCAAAATGGCGACGAACAAATAATGAATTTAAAAAAAACAAACAAAGAAGTTTTCTCCAAAAGTTGAAATTGCCGTAATAATGTACATTGCTTTTTGCGGATGTCAAAAATTCCAAATTTTCATTTTACCGTAATTGCTGTCACTGTTTCTAACTAAAAACAGGTTATTCAACCCAAAAACTAAAGGTGAAAAAAAAAAACAAAAAAAAACAACGAACAACTCTATACATTATTAATAAAACATCATTCACCTCTTTTTATTGCTTTTAAGTTGTCAAATAAGTTAAACATATACCACCACCCAACAACACATCATGTTTACACTTCATCTATTCTTCACTGTTTATACTGCAAAAAAAAAGCTTTTTTTTTTTTTAGCGCTTAAATGAGTATAAAAAAAAAAAAAAGAAACAATTGATTATTTCACAAAAACACCACCCATACGCAAGTAAAACATAACAGCAGACATAAAACAGCTCAACAGATACAGTAACTACAGATACCTTAAGAAAAATTTCTGCAATTGTCAACATCGACAAATATGTTCCTGACAATATATCTATCAAATTTGACTCTTCAAACACACACACACACACACACACACACACACACACACACGAAAAACTTCAACTATGATGCAAATACACTGAACACTGCTTCATTACTACCTCAAAAAATTCAGAAGACGAAGACGACAGCAAAAAATAAAATAAAAAAGGAGAAGAACGATGCTCAACTGCAGTCTAAAAAAATGTAGGAAAAAAAAAGAAATGCCAAAATAAATTTCCATCAGTGTACACACACACACACACAGATACACACACACCACCACAGCATTCAGAAGTATTTAACAGTTTCAACAGAAAAAAGCTCGTATGGCAACTGGCGACCGCGACGGCGACGCGCATCGTCCCAACAAAGTGGTTTCTATTTCTTCTTTTAACGTTCGTTATTTTGGTCGGCTTGTCGCTTTTGATGTTATTCTGATGCGTCTCTTTGATGTTTACCGACTTAAGAAAAAAAAAAAATTTTTTTCTTAATGTTTTTTTTATTTTTTATTTTTTATTTTCTTATTCTTTTTTTTTTTTTTTTTT